TAATACGACAATCTCCACCCCCTCCCCGGGCCCAAATCTTAGGAGGACGGAGGGTTTGTGTTATTATTATTATTATGATAATTAATAAAAAAAAATATCTATCATAAACTCTCTCTTTATCTCAAAAGTCAAACTATATAACTCTAATATGCCTAAATGAAGTGCAATTGGCCCTCAGGTGGAGGGACCAACCAACTATTAATCATCAATATAAAGAAATAGTCTCTCTCATCCTCGTAACATCATCTCCTTCATTTTCAATGTGTGTACGTTTAATCCATGAATGTTGAACAAAAAATTATATTGAATAGTATACTTGAAACCTATAACATTGACTCAAAATTCTGATTTAATGGTATGTCAAGTAATATAATTCTAAAAAGAAATTTGATAGTTGCAAATACAACAACGCTAAATAGACCCTTTTTTTCTAAAGAAAAAAAGAAAAGAAAAGAAAAGTGATGTTATTAGACCATATTATGTTAGTTTTTAAGTCGTAATAGCATTACTCAATTTTACTGGTGTAATCCGTATCAAATTTATCTTTCATCACTCAAAGGAATCTAGAGAGAGAGAGTAGTCCACAAAACAAAGACACACACCAAAGTAAAAGAAAATGTGGATGCATTATGCCCTTAAACTTTTGCTTCATTACTCAACATGTAAGCATGCTGGCACCAATTAAGGAGAAGAGAGCCTTTTTTTAATGAGGAGGCGGGGGGAGGGGGGGGGGGGTCTTTGAGTATTCTTCTGCTTAAACAGACATGGGATTCAAAAAATGAAAGCAGTGTTTGTCGCCAAGATGTTTGGTGCATGTAGTCATGGATGGTCCTTTTTGTGGTCCAAGTTAACGGCCATGCATGCGTCCCCAAAACCCATTATTTGGCCAAACTTGCTTTTGTAATACATGATGATTTAAATGTTCCAAGTCCAATAACATAGTAGTAGTTAAGGAAGCTTTTTAATTTTGGGTTCGAAGAAGAGAGAAAATCAAATCTAGGGGTGCTTTGTCATATGGGTCACTCATCCTTTTTCTGCTCTTGGTCAAAGACATGTAGTTCCCTCCTACTATGTATACGGTGTGTGTACTTTACAAAGGATATAACTCGGTACTCAATTGCCTTATCCACTGATAATTGGCCCTCTTGAAAACTTGGCAAATGAAATTTTAAGAAAAGAGTATGGAAAATAGTGTCTCTGCATGCATATGTTAAACCTTCATGTATTTAACCTCTTTTTTCTTTTTAGTAATGTTGTTAGTTGTTTCCCAAGCATCTATGTGGAGAAAGTTTGAGCAAACAGCAGCAAGCCTATTAGTTTTTTAAATGAATGTTAATAAGATAGAGACTGAATAAATAAATGTGCCAACTATTGAAAACCAACTTTCTTGACAAAAACATTGTTTACAGTTTTACAGATTCAGATCAATTTTAGTACCAGTTTCTATCATTTTTTCAATATAGATTATTTGTCACGAATTAAAGTGGAAACTATCGTATTCAAACGATCTCATTACAGTCACTGCCGTATAATTTTCCCGAGTTTTTCATTAAAACCAAAACTTGTCAATATGGGGATCAGAAGGGCAGTGAATGAACAATTATTTGGGATGATACCATGGCATATTATTCAATACCTTGTCCTTGTTTTTAGGGCTATGTTTTCGACCAAATTGGTGTGTAAACTTATCTATTAACTGCATATATATAGATGTTGGTTGGAAGTTTTGGGTTTCCCTTTAATACTAATCATAGTTGATTTTTCCTAAAAACAAAAAACATAGTAAGGCAGTAGTCAAAGTGGGCCTCTCTCTGCGGACTATGTAACAAAGCATCACACCGAAAGGGCTTCTAGTATATGACAAGAACTGAAGGTCCCATGCCTCCCCCCATTTGTAATATACAGTATAACTCACCCAAAAACAGATTGTTGATGCAAAGTTATATATAGAGGTGTCTGACTAGGATTTGGGACCCATAATTGTTTCCCCCTTTATTGATCTTGTCTCCCTTTTACAAGCTATTTTATTTCTCATCCTCATCAGTTTGTCTACCACCCTAACTTTCCCATCTCCAGCAGGTTTTCCAAAGAAAGACCTGTGTGTGTGTGTGTGTGTGTGAGAGAGAGAGAGAGAGAGAGAGAGAGAGAGAGAGTGTTTGTATCAACATCTCTCCCCCATTTCCTTGTCATGGGCTAACTTCTCTTCTCATGCAAGATTCCACTTTTGGGCTTCTTTTCTTTTTGTGTTCAAAACAATAACTAGTCCAGGACAACCTATGTGGTGAATTGAGTTGTTAATGAAGACCGAAGAAATGAAGAACCTAAAGTATGAATCTCCACGAGTTTCCCTCTCACACCAAAATGAATGAATGAATGAATAAATGAAGTTCTAAGAAATAATCTACTATCTAATTTGCTCCTTTGCAATTAGAAACCCTGTCAGAATTAGCAACTTGCTAATGTTCACCAATGAAAATGCAGATTTTTTTCCATTTGATTAAGAAAAGATACTGGTTATGAAGGAAAGAAAACTACTCAAGGCAATTATTAAATTCGTAAACAATAATCTATCTCTTTTTCTAGTCAGATTAAGAAAAAAGAAGCAGTAATCTAATCCGAAGAAAGGGGGATTGGGACTATATCATTCAATGCTCTTGACATAATATAATGTGTTTCCTAATAGGTTTAATATAATACTACTACTCTTTAGCTTTAAGTCAAAGGGAAAAAAAAATGGCAAAAGGTGCTTATAGAATCATTGAGGTCACAAAAAATAAAGTGTTTGAACTTGATTCTAACCACTTGCAAGAGGTCTAGAACTCTATTTAACAAGTACCCATGTAGCTTATTTAGTATCCAAGCATGTTGTCTTACTTGAATTCAAACGATAGGTTCCAGCAACCCATGTAGGTTATTAAGTATCCAACCATTTTGTTACCATGATGTATCTTACAGGTGCTCTTCAATAAAAGAATGGATTAACATGATGTTGTTATACCAAAAACTCACTACTGATAAACATCAAATTCAGGGGATAGGCTTCTTTAAAATGGGGATTACATATCTGTCCCTCAAAATCACAAGCAGGCGTGCAATCCTTTGAATATGCACTTGGAACAGTTTCTAAGTTAGCTGAAATAATTGTGGTTAGAATGATTGTTGTATATGTCTAACTTTGGTGTAAAACTGAGACATAAAAGATGTTATGCACCCAATAACTGACTGGCAATATGAGTACCTTTTTCGGAATGTGTATGGGCTGGAAGCCCAACAACTGCAGATCTTCCACAAATATTTTATGGAGCAAATCTGTTTATTGCCGTGAAGCTGAAAGCCTTAACACAACTCCTCATCTTCAACATTTCCTTCAGGGGCTCAACTAGGGTATCCAAAAGTTATTTTCAGGCTATTTTTTAACAATCAAAATACTGTAGTGCTATGCACTGCTTTAGAAGATAAATGTAGGATCATACTAGCAAAGAGGTCTACCATAGTGGGCTAGTGCTCGGGTCCAGGTCATGGTGGAATTTCTTAGTCCATCTACATATTGTAAAAAACTGCTTCCCTTCTTCTATGATCGAGCCCCTAGTGGCAGAATAGCTGGATCAGCAGCAGCAGCCATAGCACAGGTAGAAAAAAGAGAAGTGGATTGAATCCCAACCACTTGACATTTCTTGAAATATATTCGTGCTGATGACTGCAAACCCATTTTGCTGAAAATATGAAATAATTGAAGACCATGAAACTGAATTAATCTTAGGCATTTGCTTAAACAAGCGCCATCCATCATCAACCCATGAAGCAAGACATAGTGTGGTAATGATAACTATCCAGCCGATGAAATCTTTATGAAAAGCTCCAATGCACTTTGTGTCTGTCTTTTCTTCATGTAACCCATTATCATGAAGTTCCAAGAACAGAGGACTTCTCAGGCACTTCATCAAACAGGTCCCTTGCATCGCCAATCCTACCATTCCATGCCATCCTTTGATCATCACATTCCAAGAAACAATCTATCCGACCCATTTGATCTTCAACTTCTCCTTTAAATGGGTAATCTTATACTCCCTTTATGAGCGTCGTCATTACTTCCTTCTTTGTACCATTCAATAAATTTGCACCATGTCATGTACCACAGGCACTCCATTTATGCTATGACAAAGTTTGCTAATCCTATGCATAGATTTCATTCTTGTTCTGCTATTATGGAGTGGCCTGTGGAGCAACCATCTTCTTTCAAACATCCTTGAATTTACTTTGTTTCCCATCACACTAATGAATCCTATCACATAATTTGCAAATTGCTTACAAATATACAACCAGTAGTGTGTACATGCATTATGAACGAAAATTTATGGTCCAGTTATTTTTAAGGGCCCTGAAAAATAATCAGGAAAACATATTCTACAAAATTTACCGAATTTCGTTGAAAAATAGCCAGGAAAACATATTCTACAAAATTTACTGAATTTCGTTTCTTGATGATTTTCATAGGGTTTGTATAGAAGTTTTTGTTGTACTTGATGCTGCATTGAAGTTGAACTCCATTTTTCAGTTTTTTCTTTCTTTTTAAATTTTTTGTGTTATGAACAAAGATATGAGCAGTTCCATGAGTTGGAACTTGTAATACAAATCATATGTTACCAACAAATCAGGTCTAGACCTTCATAAGTTCAAGCCAAAGCAACAGAAATAACAGAATATTGGGAACAGATTGGTGCATTGGAGAAACCAAACATCAAATATATATAAGGGCATTCTACTCCTAAATAAGAACACTGTTTGTATTCCTACTCTTCAAAGAACATAAAGGACAATGCCATTATACATTTCATATACACGACTGCTGTACCATGAAAGCAGTGATCTTGAGATGAATATTAAAAACTAGGAAACCACCCAGAAAAATCCCGCTTATATATCACCTAACAAAATTAACATACAAGAAACATACCAAGAAGAAAGGGCGACCAAGTGCACGAGGCTTGTGCCACTCCCTTTTACCTATCATCAATTGAAAAATCCGGTTCCACTGGTTTCTGCAATGAACTGAGGATGTCAAATTCACTAGTATCCCTCATGCTCCCACCCTTTCTAGTGCTTGCTGTTAATGTTGCTGCATACATGGCCAACTCTGAGGCCAATTGGGGCAAGGGCATGCCATTTTGTTTGATTGCTGGTGACGGGGTTACATGGCCCTCCTGAGCCTTGAGCTTAGCTGCTTCTTTCCTTCTTTTGTATCTAAACCAAGCCGCTTGTATAAAGCAAGCAGCCCAAGTCCTCCACTGGTGTGAATGAGACCTGAATGTGTGCCTTATTTGTCTGCTATGTAGCTTGCGGAACCGAGATGCTACGTAATTCACATCCTCTGCAATGAGAGCAAAAGCTTCAACTTCCGAGAGGGCTGTTACCGTGCGAGTAGAGGAAGGAAGACTAACACTTGGACGTGGGTCCAACGCCCAGGTCAATAGTTCCTCGCCACAGAAATCACCTGGACCAATTCGGCATGAGTTGAGAAATCCAGTCCGGCCTCCATCAGTCGTGTAGGAATCTAGGTGGCCTCTAACAATGAAGAGCATTTCGTTGACAGGGTCACCTTCACGGACTAGGCGGGTGCCCGGAGTACATAAAACAGCTTTCAGCCTTTTGCATATGGCATCTAACATACACTCATCCATTTGATCAAAGAGTGGCACCTGTTTTACGTTGATAACCAGGAGTATTATCAGATGAAGAGCGCATGCTCATTTCCTCATTATTCTCTCATTTTCGTCGTGAATGATGAGGGAAGGAACTAAAACTTACTCGGCGAACTAGATCAAGGCAGAGATGACGCTTGATATCTCGACCGAGATCAAGGGGAAGGCCTTTAAGAATAGCTTCTTCATCAACTCCACGAGTTGTAACCCATTTAAATAAATCATACCTGCGCACTCTCTCCCTTAACTCATGGGGCAGCTGCCTGTGATGCATCCATTCTTCTGTATCAGTTCTCTTAACCCTCCACTCTTCTATTCGTACAGTAGTGGACTGAAGGCATGTCTATTAATAGAGAAAGAAAACAGCTGAACATTGTGGCCTTTCCGGAAATTGCATGTTTGTTTAGTTTTTTTGCTCTCCACATTTTGAAAAAAAAATGACATTTGAGTCAAAAATAAATAAATAAATAAAAAATAAATTTAACTTATTTTCAGAGTATTTTTTGAAAATAAGAAAAATAATTTTGAATTTTAATGAAGTCTGCCCTTTGAGTCTCCTTACCAACAAATTTCTTCATTCATATATATATTTTTTTTACTTCTTTCTCTCTCTCATAATATATAATATATATTATAATATATTATATTATATAATATATATTATATAATATAATATATATTATATAATATAATATGCTATATAAAATTTTATATTATATATTATTATAATATATTATAATATATATTTATATTATATATTATTATAATATATATTTATATATTAATATATATTATATAATATAATATATATATTATATTATTATATTATATATATATATATATATATATACATATAAGTATATACACTTATATACTTATATATATTATGAAATTGTTAATATAAAAATAAATTTTTTATATTTTTTATTAATGTTTGAATTACTGTTCAAATATATATTTAGACTGTCCAAACAGATTTTACTATTTTCTGTATTATAAAATTATTTTTGAAATCATATAACAAAACAAGTTTTTTATCTCAAAAAATATCAAAACCACTTTCGTAAAACTTTTCTCAAAAACTGTTTTCAGATACTAATTTTTGAAACGCAAACTAAATAGGCCCTATGTTTTCGTTTTTTGTTTTTATTTTGATATTTAGAGAAAATAAGAAAAAAAAACTTGTTTGATAACCGTTTTTATTTTTTTTTTCTGTCATCGTTTTGTAAACGAGAGGGATTTTCAAAAATGAGAAAAAGATGTTTTTCGTTTTTTGATTATGTTTTTCGTTTTTTAGAAAATCAAAAATCGTAAACGTTACCAAACGAGCCCGAAAGAATCCTAATTCAAAATTAGAAATTATTCTTTTCCCTCCAAATAGTCTTCAACTTCCACCCATGTAGAAGGTGGAACAAGCTTTTTGCAATGAAATTAACTTGACAAATAAATACTTCAAATTTTCTGGTTTGAACGATTAGTTAGAATTCATTTGCTCAACATTTAGTCAAAAGTAAAACAGCGACACTTGCACAGATATAACTACAGCTTGTTAGATTACTAAAGATGTGCAAACCTTACATCATAACACTATTCCTATTGCTAAACTTACTTGTAGATTCCCAATAAGCAATGCAAACAGCACCAACCCAACAATTGCAATGATGATGGCAAAACTATTTTCTCCATAATAGGTGCTTGTGGCGAGGTCCTGCCCTACAGAGCTGCACAAATCAATACGAATGACGAAGTAGTTAATTTTAAATATATCAAAGAAGATGCCTTCATCTGCAGAGTGGAGAACTAAGTGCAAAAACTAAACTAGGCATAAATTTGCAGATTCATCTGTTTTTGATTAAATAGCAGACAGACGTTTTTAGTTGTAAGGTTTTAGTTGTAAGGTCAAAGTTATATGTACTTTTTTTTCAAGTTCGGCCACTAGTTTAACGAACTTGTTCTTCACCTCCATTCAAAAGGATGAATGGTGCTCTAAATTGCCACAAAAAATAAATCGGAATGGTTTCATTTGTCAATGGGGCTCTAGCTGCTCTGCTCCATTTGGTATAATGAAAGGATAAAAAATTGGAAGGATGGATAAAAATCAATCAATCCCTTCAAAATTAGGCGAAAAAGGAAGAAAAATGGCACTCACTTGGATAAAAATATGTTATTTACTTTTTTAACCTTTAACTAATTACTTATTTACATTAAACACCTAAATCCAAACTCATATACCAATCGGTGGAATTACATTATATTTTAACACTGTGTATATGTGTTTGTATACTAGTGTGTTTATTTTTTATTTAAAAATCAAATAAAAAAATAGATGTATTTTTATGTAATTTGTGTTTATTAAAACACATGACACACATACCATAGTGATATGGTGTATAATATATACACTAATCTCATATAAGGAAAAAATAGTAAATTATGTATGTATATTGTATCTATACTTCTATTTTTTTCATCAATACCAAACACAAAAAAATTAATCATTTCTATTTTCCTTCCATCCTATCAAACGCAAAGGAAAGAAAATGTATCATTCCTACTTTCTTGTTTTTAGAGGATAAAAAGTGCGTCCCTCCTACTTTTCAATGCCTCCTACTTTCCATCATTTCTTCCAAATGGAAGGTTAGTTACCTTAAGCTCCTTAGACCCCACCAGAGACAATAGAAGTACTTGTTGAAGAATTTTGATGATGTAACTTCACATGTCAATGCGTCTTCATAAATTCCATACTGGAAATCACCCGCAGGGCCACATATTGCGGAAATTTTGCTTGATTTGAACCAAGCTGCTCTATTAGAAGCATACATGGTACGACAGTCAAAATACCAATACTGGCAATTTGGATGTTCATTATTACAAACTTCTTTCCAACAATGTTCCTGCCGCTCAATCGCCAAAAGGTACCAACAGGAACCAATAACCTTCACGAAAGTGAGTGAAATTAATGACCAATTTTTCTTGAAGAATCACACTGTCAGCTATGAGTATGTGCGTCTGTGTGTGTGTGTGTGTGTGTGAGAGAGAGAGAGAGAGAGAGAGTCACTATGACTGACTTCTGCATTTAATTCTCAGTATCTTTTGAAAATCCAAAACAGCTCATGAAGAATCATATATCAAATTGATTCAGTGGAGACTCTAGATAAGTTTCGCTAATTTTGTTTTATACAATGCAATTTTCCTAAAAGCATAAGTGCATGCAAAAGCATAGTTGATTTATCATGAATTTTCTATAAGATAGCAAAATGAAATAAAAGCTTACATGGCTTGCCAACATAAAGAGAATCAGATTATAAGCTGCCCCAGCCCATGCCGCTTCCGCCACCACCCCAGTGGCCTTAGTAATTTGAGATTTGAGCGGAAAGGTAAGATAGAGCCTCAAGAGGAACTGAAAAATTATAGTGAATCGTAGGATGAGTTTTGCACTTATCATTGTTGAACCTCTTAGACAAGGGATTGCAGCCCAAATCAACACCTGAAATAGTTTTCAACAAAAACTTCTTTATTATCGAAAGCAGACTTTAAATTCCTTATATGTTTCAAATTCGACCAGTACAACCAAAATTTGATAACTCAATAATTATAGTTTAAAGGTCTAGATAATTTCACCTGATTGAAGACAAACCATAAAACAGTGAATAGATTTACTGTTATGCTATGCAAATCTGAGGAGCACATTAAAGCGATGAATCGTAGTCATCTATTGGAAACAACTTCCCTTCCACCAAATGCAGATCCTAATACTACTAATTAGTAAAAAAATAAAAAACCTAAGAGGAAGGCATACAAAAACAGATTAGAAAGGCAAAGTTTCTTCATCCTTCACCCCAGAAAAACTAGAAACATTTACAATAAAAGAAGTTCACAGGCTTTTCAATAAAAATGATGCTTGTAAATTTGCAATTCATAGTTAATCTAATTTGATGCTCAGTCTCGATGAAACTAAGTGCTACCTCTCAAAAGATCGATTGTTGTTTGTCATTACCTGTGGAAGGGGTAGAGCAGCCAATAGGTCAAGCCAAAAGTCTCTATGCATATATCTTGAGGCTATCTTTGTAGAATCTATAACCAGCTCTCCTCTCCCAAACACACGAGAGGACGGAGCAACATAAGCAGTTCGAAACCGGACAAAAATCTGGATGATGTAAAATGCATCAACTAGAGATCGAACAACTGTAAGGGCTATCTCAAGGGGCACACTTGCTTCCATGCACATATCCTCTTTCACCTCTGGCAAATAGAAAAATAGGGGATCGACGAAAAGGGAAATAAGGCAAGCAACTAAGAAACATTTGTTCCAGCGGTTTACAACAGTTCCTCGAGGATCTAGTATGTTCTTCTGCACCACATCATAGTCCTCAGAGAAAACTCTCAAAAGCTTTTTCTCTTGAAATTGCTTCCCTATTATCTTTGCCGTAGGAATCTTCATGCATGACTCGGGTGTTTGTTTTCCACTGATTACAGAGCTGAGCTTGAACAAATTGCCTCTTTTGGGTGTTGCCAACTTTGCAGTTTCAAGATCATCTTGAAATCTGACAACAAATATCTGGTGACTATTATATTCTGAGTGTCACTAGCACAAAGCAATTATTATAGAACAATATTCACCTTGATACAAAAGTTCATAATACAAGTTAAAGGAAAGAGATGAACAAACCTCACAGATTTTGAATTACCAAAATCCATTGAGCCGCTCAGATTACACGGGTGCTATGAGTTAATAAGTGGATTTCATCTGCTACGCAATAAAACCATAGCAACATAAACATCAGGGCATGTGTCACAAAAAAATGATTTGATTTAAAGGCTCATCATTCACAATCACAAAGAATGGGTGGCCTTTTCGTAGGTACGGCATTGGGAATCATGTGAAAGCAAAGTATAAAAAAGTTTGAAAGCTAAAAGCAGTACAATCTTGGGGAGGGAGAGGGGGGGGGGGCAATTCAACAGATATTATTGCAACGCAAGGATGAAGAAGACTCCTACAATCGTTCTGTTGTTTGCAACTTGATGAAACAGGCTAAGGGAACTTACATACATGTATTGGTCTGGTCCTGTTGGCTGCTAGAAATATTATTGGAAATGTAAAGGCCTTCTCATTCTTCCACACTTCTTCTCAGCTGAGAATTCCATTGAAGCTAAGGGACTTATATTTGCTGATTATATATGACTGAAAACACAAAGGAAGTATTTGTTGGGGGGCAATGGAACAGTGTTGCCATTTTTCAGAATCTTGTCAAAGTGACTAAAAACCTTGAATTTCGTCAAAGTTTATATGTACATACACATACAGTTTAAGGAATTTAACTTAAAAAAAAAGTTGGGTTTTAACGTTTATTACTTCATATTCTGGAAGTGGAAGTTTGAATTGTTAGAGGAATGGATCAGCAAGAGAACAGGACAGAGAGATGGATCTATTTTAATGGGTCCACCATCAAAGAGATAAATTGCTAATATTAGTTGACCCATCAGTCGGCCTATTGAACAGAGAGTGATCTCTCACCACTGACTACCTTTAGCAGTGGACGATGTTGCAGAGAAGAGAAAACAGAACACAAAATTCTGGCAATTTCCTTATAGAAGACTATGGTATCCGTGCAAGGCACACTTTTTTTTTTTTTTAATTATAGTTTATTGTGTGCTAGTAAAATATTTAATATGATTATAAGGTTAAATATAAATAAACAAGTTTACAGTTAAAATGTTAATCGCTTATATACGTCATCAGCTCTAAACAATTTGGACCACTGCTATACTTTTACGGCCAAGCTTTGAGTTTTATTATATAAATTTACAACTAAGCTGAGGCAGCATCAATTTGTAGGAAGCTAAGCTGCCGTTCCACTATTCTGATCTTTTTTCCTTGCTGCAATTTAAAATTTTATTTTTCATTTCTATTTACTTAGTTCATATCATTATTTCGTGTGTTCTAGGACGAATTTAATTTTTTTAATCTCACAATACCACCCAAATAACTGCGATGAGGGAGTCAAAAAGGTCAAAAATAATTTTGGAATTTTTCTCATTTGATAATAAAAATGATGCTAAGGCTGCAGTGGGTAGGCAAATACTTTAATTTTTTTTGGTACCACAGTCAAGTCCTTTATTCACGAACCACCTTTAGTAACGTTGTTGCTCCGGAAATCATGCCCGTGGCCTCAACCCAAGTTCAATACAAATTCAAAAATCTAAACACGGCAATAATCAAGTTGAAAGGTTTCGAGGCAAAGAACTTATTGGACCCTGAAAGTGCATGCAAGTCCCCAACAAACAATACGAATGATGAACAGCAACACTGTAAAAGTGTTCCCAATACCTGCATCGCATCAGAATCACAAGCATCCATTACACCCAAGAACTAAGGTTAGATGTGGCCAACACCATATTGATGTTCTTGTCTAAAGGAGGTCAAAATTCACCCCAAGTTTTACGAACCCTGCCAACCTAACTTAACCGGAGGATTGTGATTGGCTGTGGCAGAACAGAAACCAAATAGCCTTTTACAAGAGCACTGCAAGTGGAGTGGAACCAAGGGACATGAAGGACTTCACCATGGTGAATTCATTATTTGTGTAGAACCCACCTTTGGGATTTTTTCGAAGTTCCACATTTTTTCCGCCATAGATGAGTCACCACCGTGAGACACCAAAATTCCCCTGATTCATTAATACATGCAGTCAAACAAATATAAAGTTTAAGTGGGCTTACCTGAACTACCAAACACATGAATTGCAGTCAATAGAGTATGTCTATGACTTTTATCCCAGCACCTTGACAAGGTTTTCCGGATACCTACTCCAAATATAACCAAGGCCTTGGGTTCTGTCTGTACTTACACAAGGTTAACAATCCCCTGCACATTCAGTTAACTATCACAAAATTCTCATAACGCATATACCAGAAAGTCATCAGATACAACAATCATCTGCCCACAGCACCAAAATGACAAGTAATTGGCTACAACGCACATCATCTGAATAATATTTAAAACATATATTGCAAAAAGTTACACTCAGATGCTTTTGCTCCTGTTGGTCAGGAGAATGAGACTTAATCCACAATTTCAGCTTTGGTTTAAGGACCAAAGTATATGGACTTCATATCATTTGATGAACTTCAACCTATCTTGCACTTGCATAGCTCTAGGACCTGTTACAGAAATCAATATATTGTTAAAAATTAGAAGTGTAAGATAACAACCAGGAAAACACTCTTTTTCCAAAAGTAAATGAGGGAAAATACTCATTTAATTAACAGTAAAACTTGAACATAAATTTGTTTAAGGAAGATAGTGAACTTGAGAGTTCAAAACAAATATGAAAACAAAAGGACAACAATTGAAATACAAGAGACTAATCTTGCAATAGGGCTCCATATATGACAAAATGGGTAATGAAACAACTCTGCATAGGCTTCACAATCTTAATAATCCCTTTTGAGACTTGATTTGTCTACATATATACTATGTAAGTCCGTCTGTTAGCAACTAATTTTGAGAAGAATGTTTATGAGAAAGCAGAAAGACAGAAAATCCAACTGTGGTGCAAATTCTCCAGATTTATACCTTGAGTTTTGCTTGGTTGAATGTAGCAATAAAGATTCAACGATCAAAATTGACGCCTTGGCCGAGCTTCAGCAACACTAACACGGATTGCTCTGCCATTAAGGTCCTGCATTTGAAGCATATATTTAGGCCAAAATTACATGAAATATTCCAAACTTACTACATATCTGGTACTAAAATAAATGGCATGCATATCAAAATTCAGGTCAAGCATGCGAATTCGATTCTGATAGCAAAAGATAAATAGGAGAAAGAAATCCATGAATTTATTCAAAAGAAAATGCACGAAATTTATGATTATTACAGACGTCCAATACATTTCACAATAACACAATTACTCTTACATGATAAACAGTATTAAATGGACACCAAACAAGGTCCAACGTTTATAAACTTGAAAATATAGCTTTCAGTTTGGTCGAGGTATGTTTACAAGCTACTGAAAAAGGACAAACACAAGACTAGTACTATGCACAGCTGCTCTAATGAGAAACCATATGATCATAATATATGGTTCAATCAACAAAACCAATAGTATAAAAAAGGACCATGAACACACAGGCTTTCAATATGTGATCTATAATGGCATAAGGATAACTCAAAAAAATTAGAAGGCTGATCTTATACTTACAGCACCATCCAGTGATTCAATTGCACTATTGACCTCATCAGCAGAACTGTAAGTCACAAATCCGAAACCTCTTGATCTGCCACTGTCCCTGTCATAAACCACCTTGGCTTCCATAACCTTCCCTTGTTCACCAAACAAGGTTTCAAGAGCTACATTGTCAACACTCCAATCAAGATTTCCAACATAAACTCGGTTAGTGTTATCAAAACTTGTACCCCCCCTAGGTCCTCTAAAAGAAGACTCTCCTCTGAAAGAAGACTCTCCTCGGAAAGAAGACTCTTCCTTTCGAGGAGGAGGACCAGAATTCACCCTCAATACCCTCCCGTCAAGTTCCTGTCAAATGGCATAAAATTTGATTAAATGTATACATGTAATAAACCAATGGTCACATGTGACTGTACCCTCCAATCTCGAAAATATGAAACACAAAAAAAATTTATTGCGATTTATGCCATAAGTTTTTTCAAGTGAGATTCAAGTACAGGCTCCGCTTGTCTCATAAAATTGATTAAATGGACTTGCATTATGCCAAGTAAAACAAAGTTCTCAACTTTTAAGTCAACAGTTAATGTAAAAATTGAAGCATTGTAGTATAGATGATATGATATCAAAGGGACATTGTAAATGTTTTGTACTATTTTTGTTGCAGAACACAGCAAATGAAACTATAGACAATGCAACATTGAAAAAACAAAGGGAACAAACTAACGAAACTTACATAACCATCCAATTGTTGAGCAGCTGCTTTGACTTCCTCAACCGAAGACATTGTCACAAAACCAAATCCACGGCTTCTTCCAGTGAACTTGTCGTATATAACCTGCCAAAGCCAATCACTTCAGTATGCATAAACTTGTCATCATTGTTGATTAAACCCCTATTACCTAACATCCTAAAATTCCCCCCAGAACAACAAACAGAACATAACAAAGTTATTATTCTAAAATGTTTCACCAAAACAGAATCACAAAGGAAAGGAATCACCACCACCTACATGGCTACACCTAGAATGTCCTGATACATGGAATGTCAAGATAATTATATTCAATGAAAATAAACAACAAATTGTTAAAAGGGCTGATTTGTCTCCATAAGTCATTTTACTGTAAACCTTCCTGGCAGTTTTTCAAAACTCCCCATTTCATTTCTTCACTATTATCTGCCACACAACAAAAGCAATACACAATATAATCCAAACCCAGCAAAATTTAGAAGAAATACCACACATCAAACACAAGTTATCAAAAATATTCGAACAAATAAAATAAATAGGAGTAAGAAAAGTAATACCTCAACCATCTCTACATTTCCGAATCGTTCAAACAACCCAGCCAGAGTGGCACTGTCCACGCTGAAAGGCAAGTTACCCACGAAGAGTTTGAGGTCAGGTGAGAAACTACGTTTGTCTGCATCGTCCTCGAATACCTCCTCTTCTCCTTCTAATTGCTCAAAATCAGACGAAACTGCGACTTTTCCAACCAAGCGAGAGGA